CGTGTGCAGCGCCGTGCATTGCTCAAATTCTTGCCACACCTGCTCCGCGATCTCCAGGTCGTTGGGGTTCTGGGAGGCTGTGGTGCGGTCGTCTGGGTAAAGGGCGTGTCGTCCGTGCGGCGCCCTCCGGTTCAGGCGTCTGTACGTGGCACACAGGAGCGTGGCCATCGCCAGCATGGAGAGTGGGTCTCCCTGCGGCAGGGACTCGTTCACTGTCAGCGGGTCTGGGCATACTGTGGAGCCCAGCTCAATGTACTTCTGCTGCTGCGTCCAGATGGTCTGGATGCCTCTGAGCACGTGCTCCGGGATGCCCAACTCCGCCCAGATAGCCAAGACGATGTCCACGCTGGCGCGGTCGAAGGCCGATGCAAAGTCCCAGGTGCGGATGTGCAGGTCGTGCTGTGCTTCCTCCGCCGCTGCCTGTTGCGGGGGCTCCGGGGGATTAGGCTGCTGCTGTGGCTGGTGATCCGCCTCGTCCTCGGGCTCCCCGGCCACCGCGAGCTCCTCCCAGAGGTTGTGCGCCCGGCAGGCCTCGGTCAGTTCAAGGATGGGTTCGAGGATGGTCTCTCTGCGGCAGCGGCACCTCTGCGGGAGCGGTCTCGGCCAGGTGTTCGGCCCCGTCGCACAGCCAACAGGTAGCTGAAGGGGCCAGCGCTGAAGTGGACGTAGAACTCGGATCCATCTGTCGGACTGCTTCATGTTTGTGAGCCTCAAGCAGACGGGCGAGTGCGGCGCCACGTTGTAGTTCTCCTGGACCGTCGCGAAGATGGGCTTGCCCACCAGCTCCTTCGCCACGATGAAGTCGTCCCTGACGCGCGCCTCCCCTGCCGAGACGCACGAGCCAAGCCGAGAGTCGAACGCGATGATCCCGTTCATCCTGTTGAGCACCCCCGATTGCACGATTTCCTTGGGGTCCATGTTAAAGTCCCCTCCGAGGAGCCAGTAGCGCCCAGCAGCCTGGGCAGCGTTGGTGAAGTTCCTCAGGATGCGCTTGTTCCTCTCAATCATGCCTTCATTGGCCCAGAGGGATGCCGGGCCGACCGTGATCCCGTGCTTGGCGACCGCGTCGATCCACCCGATGGCGAGTCTACCCCTGGACTCAGGCGCGCAGATGTCCCAGGAGTTGCCGACGCCTTTCGCGTACGTCATGCCACCTGCTTGTGACCGTGCCAGTGAGGACGCCCGCGCTCATGCCGCCGATCTTCCTCACGCTGGGAACGATGCCGAGCCTCCAGCCCTGCTTCTGTGTCCTCTGCGTGAAGACCGAACTAGCGTGGTCAGTGGCCTGCAGCTCCTGCGCCAAAATCACGGGCGGCGCGCTGCTGCAGTACCGTATGTGCTTCATCACCCTCTCTAGCGTGCGAATGGAGTTCGCGTTGACGGTGTAGAACTCCTGCCCGTTGGAAGCGTCGTCAGGAAGACGACCTCCCCGTCCACGTGGCTTTGGAGACGGTGAGGCTATGGCCAGGGTCCATGGCGCTGACGAGAGACACGGCACTGCCAGCATGACGCTCCACCTGATCAGCCGTGCAGCCCCCGCCTGACATGATCTGCTTGACCTGGTCGAGGGTGGAGCCCGCTGGGAAGTCGAGCAGCTCGTGCTTGATCTCCTCTTCGGCGCGCCGCTTGCTGCAGCGCCCCTTGCCGTTCCCCTCTTCTCCGCGTTCTCGCTCTGCAGCCGCTTCCTTATCTGCCGCTGCATTCGCCTCTGCCTCTGCTGCTGCCGTGCGCTCGTCCTCTGCCTTCTTCTGGCTGGTGGCGCGGTTGAGCGCGTCCTGCAGCTTTGGATCCAGTGGGGTGGGGCTCCGTCTCGCCCTCGCAAGCACTTGGCGGCCTGATCGCGGAAGGCGACCGCGGCTCCCCATCCCTGCCCCGGCTTTGGCGCACTGAGCTCGTCGATGCGCGCCCGCAGCTTGGCCAACCGTTCGTCGCGCTTGGCCAACATCGCTTTCTCTTTCTCCAGCTTCTCCTGGGCCTCAGCGAGCGCCTTCCTCCTGCTCGGCCACGCGCTCCTGCGCGCGATCCCTCTGGGTTCTCGCACTTGTGTTCTCGCGCACAACCTTGCACTCCGACAAGCACCGCGGTACTTCGCCGTCTGTGACTACAGTCGCTTGCAACCCATCCACCTGCTTCTGCACCACGTTGATGTTGTCCGCCACCAGCGGGGCGAGGTCTGGGTCCTCGGTCTGCTTCTGCATCTCCTGGAGGTGTCCCCTGAGCTTGCGGAGCTTAGCCTTGGCGGCGTCCTCGCTCTCCGCGGGGGCGGTGCTCGTGGACGTGCTGGCGGCGCCTCCTGACGTCGCGCCGTCCTTAGCGCCCCAGCACTTCCAGCAGAAATCGTAGCCTGCCCCGTTCTTCGATTTACAAGCGGTGCAAGTCCACCCATGACGTGATTGGGCTCGTGGGGCCATCCAGCCTGCAAGCGCAGTGCCAGTTCGATTTTGGCGCTCGCTGACACCGCGCGCCGCCTCTCTGCAGGCAAAAGGCGGGCTCGGCGCGAAATGGCTAGGAGGAGGAGGAGGAGGAGGAGGAGGAGGAGGAGGAGAGGAGGAGGAGGAGGAGGAGGAGGACGAAGGAGGACGCCTTACCCGACCCCCGCCCACACCACTCCCTCCGCCGCGACTGCCGCGACGCACCAAGGAGTACTGCACCTTGCCCCCAACTCCTTCGGACCTCTGGAAGGATCAGCGGGGGCGGGCCCCTTACTCTAGGAGATGCGTGCCGAGGTGGGCCTCAGCTCCCCCCAGGGGGCTGGGGCCCACGCTCGGGCCACCTTTGAACCCGCACTGCGCCAGCGCATACAGGCGCCACCTCGCCTCTCCGTGCCTCCCTTCCCGCTCCTCAGACTCTGACTCTGCCTTTACCTGTTGGTTGTTGCTTTCCCTCCCCCGCGGGTCGCGGGGCGAGGATTCGAGGGCATGCGCTCTTTCACGCGAACTTGGCCGCGTCACCGAATCACCGAATCACCGAGGACGAGGAGGAGGAGGAGGAGTAGGAGGAGGAGGAGGAGGAGGAGGAGGATGAGGATTTTTTTTATCAACCGCGTGCAATCAGCTCAGAGACGCGTCGCCGCGCCCGCCGCCCCGGCGCGGCGCCCCGCGCGCCCGGCCGGCGGGCGAGCCCGGCCGGCACGACACGGGGAAAACGACGGGGGCCCCAGAAAAAAGGGCAGCGCGGCGCCGCCTTTAGCGAAAAAGACGGCGCCGCGCCCCCCGCCCCCAGGGACCCAGGACCGGGCCCCAGGACCGAAAAAAGGACCGGACCCCAGGACCGGACCAAAAACAAAAAAGGTGGCACGACACGACACGACACGACGGGGGACGAAACGGCCACGACCGACACGCACGACACGACACGGACGAACGACACGACAAAGACGAGCCGCCGGTCCCGCCCCAGGGAGGCGAATGCTGGGGGGGACCCAGCACCACCCTGGGGGAGGCCACGGGACCTGGCGACCCCCCCGGGGGAAGGAAACCGCACTTTGGCGGCGTCCCCCGGGGAGCGGGGGCTTTTCGCCCCGAGGGCCCGGCGGTCCCCGCCTCCGCCAGGGGGCCGAAGCCCGACCCCACTCTTGGGGCCCCTCCCGGGGCAGGGGGAGGATGAGGAGGAGGAGGAGGAGGAGGAGGAGGAGGAGGAGGAGGAGGAGGAGGAGGAGGAGGAGTAGGAGGAGGACGAGTAGGAGGGGAGGTGGAGGGGATGAGGATGAGGAGGAGGAGGATGAGGAGGATGAGGAGGAGGAGGAGGGAGGAGGAGGAGGAGGAGGAGAGGAGGAGGAGGAGGAGGAGGAGGAGGAGGAGGAGGAGGATGAGGAGGAGGAGGAGGAGGAGGAGGAGGATGGCCCGTGTAACTCAGCTCGCGTCAACGATGTTGCAATACACCCTCCCTCCAAGTTCCCCCTTTTCATAGGTCCGGGGACGAGTTTAGTTGCATTGCTGGAGTTGCCCCATTGGAAGACAACCGTTTGATATCCTCACTCGTTTCAACATGCATTTCCTGGGATTTCAGCGCCGCGAATCGACGTGATTGTTGCGTGGCAACTCTCCAGAAAACCACTCCTGGGACTTCAAAGGGCGAATCAACATGACTGTTGCGTCCTGAGAATCCTGAACCATGCGAGAACATCATTCCTGAGACTTGTTGAAAAGGATGCGCCCCGCATCAGTGCATGGTGACGAACTTTTCAGATGAATGTTGGCGGCGCCAGGGCAAGTACCACATTTTGAAAACGAGTCCCCCTCTAGAAACGGTTGCCCACTTGTAAGGCGAATGTGCGTGGCGCTGAGGCGAGAGCCCCATTTAGAAAACGGCTCGCCGTCCACCCGTGAAAGTGCTGCAATCTTGAGGGGGATGTGCACGGCGCCAGGGCGAGAACTACATTTTGAAAACGATCCGCCCTTCATCCAAGAAACCGTTGCACATGTCATGCTGTAGGGCCATAAATGGCGAGGAAGTCTCAGACGAAACGCCCGGCCCGTCCTGCGGACATTTCTGGGGGTGCGACAGGGTATTCATAAGGCAAAGGGATGGAGGCGGAGGAGGCGGAGCAGGAGCAGGAGGAAGAGGAGGAGGAGTAGGAGGAGGAGGAGGAGGAGGAGGAGGCGGAGGAAAGATGCCCAGGCCTCCTGGGAACCACGCTGTGACAAAAACTCGGCGCCAAGTGTCTGGGAATGGGTGCGGATGGTACCAGTGACCGGGCGCTGGCCTCGCGCGCGCCTGCGTGCACTTGCCCGCGGCCGCGCGTGCAGGCCTCGGCTGTGCAGGGTCCACTGCAATCCGGTCGATCCGGTTGGATGTCGGTTCTGGCGGCCGGCACGACCTGCTGCGGTTGCGATGTTATGTTCCGACGATGCCGTCAGGCCCGATGTTTGCGTCCGATTGGATTCGATGCCGACTCCGTCCCGATGGCGGCCGCAGTCGGCGCCCTCCCCGGTCCAGTCCGACTCCCCGACCCGATGCTGACCCGTCCGGCTGCGTGGCCGCAGCGCGAGCGAGCGTAGGCGCAGTACCTGCTGGTCGGGGACTTCAAGAATCTGAAGTTTATCGACATCTGAGGGCCGCGGCGCCGGCGGGGCATCGCCGCCCGCAGGCGGAGGGCCAGGTGGCGGTGGGCCAGAGCGCGCGCTGCCCTCCCTCCCCCTCCCCTCCCCTCCCCTCCCCTCCTCCCTCGGTCCCTCCCTGCCTTCCCTTCTCTTCCTCCCCTCTCCCTCCCCCCCTCCCCTCCCTCCTCTCCCCTCCTCTCCCCTCCTCTCCTCCCTCGGTCCCTCCCCCCCTTCCCTTCACTCCCTCCCTCCCCTCTACAATTACACAATATGAAAATACTCTCCCACTTCCCCTGATGGCGTCCCGAAGATATCCGACCCCCCCCCCGCGTTTTGTTTTTTACACACAGGATTCCCGGGAAACGGGTTTTCCCCTGCGTTTTTTTCAAAATGCTGCTCTCGCTGAGGCGCCGGCCTCATTTCTGCTCCCGAATCGTTCCGAATCGTGCTCCCGCTGCAGCGTGGGCCTCATTTTCGGATCGGTGTTTGGCCTCCGTCGTTCAGGATGGCGTTCTCGCCCCAGCGCGGGCCTTTCTCGCGCGCCCATCCGCCCGCCACCACCGCGCCGCCGCACCACCACCACCACCACCACCACCACCACCACCACCACCACCACCACCACCACACCACCACCACCACCCACCACCACCACCAGCACCACCACCACCACCACCACCACCACCAGCACCACCACCACCACCACCACCACCACCACCACCACCACCACACCACCACCACCACCGTACCACCACCACCACCACGCACCACCACCACCACACGCACACACGCACGCACGCACGCGCACCACCACCCACTACGCACGCGCGCGCGGAGCCACAGGTCCGCTACGACACGCGTCCGCGGATAGAGAAAATCAGCGCCATGGTAAGGGATGGGAGGGAGGGGTAGGACGTCAGATATGACGCGAGCGCACCTAGCTTGCCTCTCCCCCCTCCCCTTCCTCCCCTCCTCTCCATCTTCCACCCCCTCCCTCCCTTCCCCTCCCTTCCTCCCCTGCCCTCCCTCTCTCCCTCCCTCCCTCCCTCCCTCCCTCCCCGCGGCGGTTCCAAGAGGGGGCCCCGAGGGGGATGGGGCCCCGAGAACGAGCGGCCTCAAACGGTGAAGGTTCCGCTTCAAATCCCGCTCCGATGCTTGCGGCCCCATCCCTTCGGGCCCCATCTTTGCACCAGGGCGGAGGAGGAGGCGGAGGAGGAGGAGGAGGAGAAGGAGGAGGAGGAGGAGGAGGCGGATGAGGATGAGGAGGAGGAGGAGGCAGAGGAGGGGGAGGAGGAGGGGGAGGAGGGGTAAGAGGAGGATGAAGAGAATGAGGAGGAGGAGGAGGAGGAGGAGGAGGAGGAGGAGGAGGAGGAGGACCAGTGCAAACCTGTTGGAATAAAACCTCACTCCAAGCTTCTTCTTCATAGGCCCCTACAACGGTTCATGTCCACAGGGGAACTGCCTCGTTGGAAATCAACCGCTTGAAGACCCTGAATCATGCCAAAACATTGCTCTCTGGATTCCAACGCCACGGATCAACTTGATTGTTGCGTCTTGATGATCCGGACTCTTGCCAGAACGCCATTCTTGGGACTTCGACGCCGCGAATCAACGTACCTGTTGCGCCTTCATAATCCAGAATCCTTCCAGAACGCAGCTTGTGGTACGTTGGTCTTGGGAACTTGTGAACCTCTGGCAAATGTTTAAAACGAATGTGCGCGGCGCTAAGGCGGGAGCCACATTTTGAAAAGGAACCGCCCTCAATCCGTGAAGCTCTTGCAAATGGTTAAAACGAATGTGCGCGGCGCACTAAGGCGAGAGCCACATTTTGAAAACGACCCGCCCTCAGTCCGTGAAACTCTCGCACATGTTTAAAACGAATGTGCGCGGCGCTAAGGCGAGAGCCACATTTTGAACACGCCCCGCCCTCCATTTGTGAAACTGCGGAACTGTTGCTAACTTTTGAGCTGCAGGGTCATACATGATGAGGACGTCGCAGGCGAAACGCCCCGGGTGCGACGGGGAGAAGTTATTCATAGGGTAGTAATGAAAGAGGAGGAGGAGGCGGAGGAGGAGGAGGCGGAGGAGGAGGAGAAAGAGGAGGCGGAGGAGGGGGAGGACGAGGGGGAGGCAGGGGAAGACGAGGAGGAAGAGACACATCTTGAAAAACGGCCCGCCCATCATCTGTGAAGCTGTTGCTAATTTTTAAGCTGAAGGGTCATACATGATGAGGACGTCGCAGGCGTAACGCCTGGCCCGCCCTACAAACTGGCCTCGGGGTGCGACGGGGAGAAGCTATTTATAAGGAAGGAATCTAAGAGGAGGAGGAGGAGGAGAATGCGCAGGATGATGATGAGGAGGAGGAGGAGGAGGACGAGGAGGCAGAGAAGGAGGCGGAGGATGGGGAGGAGGAGGAGGGGGAGCTGGGGGAAGACGAGGAGGGGGAGGAGGAGGAGGAGGA